CCTTGTGCCCAGTCTAAAGCATGAGATGGTCAGTAACCCTACCATCAAAACCTAAAAGTTCAGAAGGTCTGTGTTCCTTCTCAGTCACATGGACAGAGGCTCACACTGGGGAGGAAATAACCATAATAAATCATGTAATACTATGTATATATATATGATAAATCTCACACTTGATATTTTTTTTAGGTCTTTCCCAGCTCTTGGCCCAGACCCTCTGGATTCACTGACTAAATGAGTGAACAGACCTAGAGAACATGCGGAGACCAGGGATGTCGCCAAGTCCAAGAGCAAATGAATGGGGTGTCGACCCCAGTGTCGGCCACCCCGCCCACTCCTGCCCTCCCAGTGCCTGTTAAGGCCTACACAGAGCCATCTCCTTGAGCCCCCTGGGGGCAAACCAGCCTTCTGCTAAGTCGTGAAGGCCTCCTAGGTGAGTCCAGGTGCCCCTCCCACGCCCCCGCCCCCGCCCCGCCACCACCCCTCCTATCCCTGAGAACTACCTTTTCCCCAGTCCTCTTCCCAGGGCCTCTCTCCTGTTTCCTTCCAGTAGTCTTCCTATTGCTTCAGAGCTTGTCTTCATAACCCTATGTTCATCTCATTTTACCCAGGTTCAAACAGTCCTTCATTCACTGTGATGTTTCCTATTAGCCAATCGCCAACTCACATACAAATCCCCTTCAGTGATGACAAGTCACACAGAAAGAGAGTCTGTATCTTTGAGAAACAGGTAGTTTCATGACAAACTCTCAGGGACAAGTCAGCTTTGGTTAAGAAGGCTTCATATCCTGATTGCATATAATTCACCCTTTCTACAGACAGTGCAGCTTTCAGATGAGAAGAGTACTGTGATCATTTCAACACCCCCTCAACAACAGTATACCAAAGTCAAAAAAAAAAAAAAAGAGAATGGATCTTTGGAGAAATCCTTCAATAAGGTAGTCTAGACTCATTTGGCATCGTCCTCTCCCCTCAACACACACACACCCAGGCCAGTCTTTCTAGGGCCTATGGCTAGAAACAAGATACATTGGATTTTTTTTTTTTTTTGGAATAGAGTTGTTTTACAATGTTGTGTTAATTTCTGCTGTACAATGGAGTGAATCAGCTATATGTATACATATATCCCCTTCCTCTTGGGCCTCCATCCCAACCCCGATATTTTCTATCAGACAATATCACATGGCATGTTTTCCCAAGACAGACTTACCCAGCATTTCACCCCACCCACCTACTGGGACAGGTGGACAGAGCACCTCCTCCCCAGCATTAGCACAGGGTCTCCCTCCCCACCCCCAGAAGAAGCCACTCACTAACGCATGTTTTCCCACAGAGAGAGACATCTCTGCAGACCATGCCAGATGGTCATTTTTTTCCCTTCTCTCATGCCCTCCTGGCCCCTTCTCCACTTTCCATGGTTCCTCTAAATCAAAGAATCCACTCATCTGTCAGCAGATTTGCCCTCCCCCTACCCGCAGCCCGCTCTCCCCAGTGAAGATGGAGGCACAGCAGGCAGACAAGCCAAAGCCCTGCGGGGCTGCTGCCTGGCCTCCGCCTCCTCCAGGCTCCACATGCCTTCCCTCTGCTTGGCTGTCTCAGCAAACTCTCCTGGGCCCCACACAAAACATCAGGAGCCTCCAGGGCACCGACCGGTAACAGCTAAGAGAAGCAACAGACCACGTGCTCTCAGCCTCTCAGCCCCACCAGCCCACAGGAAGGTGCTTTGGAAGGCCCAGGACTCAGACCCTCCACCTCACTCCGGTAGCCAGTGGGTCTCCTGGAAACAGTTCACTGAGTCCAGTGAGGTGGGGAGTGGGAAGCACCCCTCCTAGTCCCCGGCCAGCAGAATGGCCATGATATCTGGAGTCAGGGCACCGCTCCAAACAGTACCCCCAAGCTCTTCATTCCAGGGAAGGGGCAGAGCCAGCAGAACTGAGGATGGCCTTGGCCTGTCCTCCAGGGTATTTCAAAGTTTCAACTTCCCGGAGTAACTGATAATTCTAATTTTATAGACAGAAGGAGCCCAGGGCTGGAGAGCGCAGGAAGAGGAGTAGAAGAAGTGGGAGAGACAGAGTGAGAACAGAAATGCTACTTTTTAATCCTTAAGGAAGATGGAGGGGTCCAACTTGTGACTCAGCTCTGGGAAGCTGGACTGAAGGAGCGGGAAACAGCTGCAGACCCGCGCTAAGCTGTGGACAGCTTCCCCCAGGCTAGAGAGGCTGCTGTGACAAGACTCACCTGGAAAAAAAGGCTCTGTTGTTTTTGTTTGTTTGTTGGGTTTTTTTTTTAATCTGTTCAGGAGCTTCTTCCTAGGCACCACTCCAGGGCCTGGTTGGCAGGTGTGCCCCTGCCCTACAAGAGCTACGGCTGCAGGTGGGGTACCAGCCTGCCCCCGCTGTGTTCCCGCCTAGTACCCAGGAGCCTCCTGGTGTCCCCGAGGACAGAGCTGGCATGCCCTTGCCCAGAGCTCCCCTGCGATTCTGTTCCCTGGCACAGTCCCAAGGCATATCGAGTATCTCTGCCCTTGGAATTCCCACTTCCTCATTTCTTTCTTTCTTGCTTGCTTCCCTCTAAGCTGTAGCCACAGGTTCCTAAGAGAGCTGCCCAGCCCCCAGGGACCTTTCAGAGCAATAACTCTTCCTGCCAGTTAGAACCCTGCCTTTAAAACCCAGGACAGAGGAGAAAGGCCTCTGAGCTCCCTCAGAACAGTTTTCCCAGCACAACCTAACAGGATGAGGGAACGGGCCCTAGAAACCAGCAGCTTCCCTTTCAGCTACTAAAATCTATGACTCTGTAAGTGCCAGGTAGCTAGCTGTGGGACACTGGACAAGCCAAGGGGTGTCTTAGAATCCCTCTCCTCTAAAGGGAAACACGTGAGTCAGGGGACCCAAGAAAAGCTTCATCTCTCAAGGATCATTTACGAGGCTCCAAGGCTACAGTGAACATCACTCTTACTAAACTTGCCTATATGTTTCCTTCAACATCTTGAAGTTTTCAAAGGTTTTTCTCATTTTTATTTATAAATGCAAAAAAGAAGAGGGGCCTTTATAAATGAGAAAACCAGAACAGAGAGCAAAGTGACTTTCCAGAAGACAGAGGGACCATTCTTCAAGGGTCAACTCATAACATCTTACATCATATAGGTCTTGACTGGTTTAAACTTCTTCCGTGGAAATTGTTTCATTTGCTCCTCCCAACAGTACTGTGGAGGAACTATTATCATTACCTCCATCTCACCAGCCAATAAATCTGAAGGTTGTAGAAGTTGAGAGTCTTGCCAGTGGCTACCTGAACGGTGAGTAGCATCACCTAGCCACAATTCAAGTCTCCTAAACCCAAAGCTATTATCATTCTTCTACACCAGAAGAAGGAGTGTCTGCTGGCCCTCTTCACATGAGCGAGGGACATAAAATTAAAGAAGCTGCCCAACTACATCCACACAAGTAGAGGAGAACTGAGATCCTGGATTTGTGTTGCCCACCAAAGGGCCCCCTGACTCCTCTTCACATCCCCTGACTTGAGTCCCAGCCAACAGCACCAGGCCACATCCCCCCAGTTAATCGGGGTATCAACCAAGCAGAAGAGCCTGGAGTGGAATAAAAGGAAGCACTGCCTTATAAGTGGCCCAGCCGCGGTTCAGGGCCATTGAGTTCACCCTTGCGGAGCCTCAGGCCACAACAGTGATGCACGCATGTACACATTCAGGGAGCTCGATTCGAGACACGACCAGTGCTTTCATTGGCAAGCTGACCCGAAGTTAATCAGAAGGCCCCCTCATTTGTGTGCCAGAGTACAAAAGACATTCTGTTCAGAAAGTTCAAGAAGAAAAACCAAAGAGCCAGGACCGCAGCTGTTCCTGCTTCCCACAGGGAAACCAAAAGCAGCCACCGAGCCTCCTGAGGCCCAGGAGTAAGTTTAAGATATAACATGCCTGAAGCGGAAGCTCGTCTTCTGAGGGGTCTCCACCGCAGGGAGTGTCCACTTCACGAAACCTCCTGATGAGATCACTGACAACCTTAGCGATCCCATCACCTATACAAGTGCCTTTCTGGAACGATCTCCTCTCTGAGGCCACACTGAGTTCACCACACACCAGCCCTCTAGGTCAGGATAAGTTTTACCAAAACACAGGACCAGCAGTGTAGAAGCAGTACGTGGCATGGTCACCGCATGCCCTGAGACTTGATTCAAACATTAACCAGGGAATCCATTCAGTACAACCACAGTACTTCATGGCTCCTCAGGTAACCTAGCTCTTAGCAGCAACTCACTCAGAGATGTCGGGATAAGGACCCTCTTGACAGGTCCCACACCCCCAGACACCCCCTGCCTCCACCCCATACATTTGTTTAGGAAAACTTGTGGTGGATTTTATTAATAATAAAGGAAGACAGCTTGCTTCTTATCAGGCTACCTGGGGGACAGAGAGAGAGGAGAGACTGACCCTAGTTCAGACATCCCTAGGACAGTCCCTCTCTCCTAATAACTACCCCAGAGAGACTTGGAGCTCACCGCAGCTCCCAGCTGAGTTAATTAGCTTTTATTTTTTTCATTAGGTCAGACATAGCAGCGCCGAAAGACAAAACAGTGTTCACTAGAACAAACCCAGCCACCCAAAAGACACTGGAGTTTCCATGTAAGACCTACAAACACATTGCGGGAGTGATGATAATTCTTTTTTCTTTTTCTACATAAAAGACTCTTCCCGTAAAATTTCCTGAGCCTTTGCGCTAAATAAAAGTAAGATGATGTTTCCTATAGTGAAGTCTAAACACCTCAGGTTCAGCAAGAGTGAGATCAGCTAGATTTGCAAAGTCAAGAAAACTGGCTGCTTCCCTCCTCCGTAAGCTAATAGAATCCAACTGTTGGAGCATGACATCATTCCTGAGCCCCAAACCCTGAGCAGAGCAGAGCATACAGACACTCGCCTGCCTCCCCGAAAACAGCCCAAGACTACGGCCAGGAAAGGAGGAAAAACAATCCCAGCCGGGAGCTGACCTTACCTGAAAGTCCCGGTGCTTTCCTGCCCACTCCATTCTCGGCAGAGTCTGGCTCACACCACAGTCTGTTAGGGAGCCCAGGGCCCCCAAATCCACTCGCTCCGGCTCCGATACCTGCTGCGAGCTTCCCACAGCTCCTTCCTCTGACCTTTCGTGGCGCTCCTTCCAGCCAAATAAGCGGAGCGCTGCTGGCCGGCCAGGCCAGTCGTCATGGAGACCCTGTTCTCGCCAGCGCTCGCTCCGATCTCTCCCTCCCTCCCTCCCTCCCTCTCTCTCTCTCTCTCCCTCCCTCCCTCTCCTCCCCACCCCCCACCCCCTCGCAGTCCCCCCCTCTCTCCCTCAGTTCTGGGAGGCTTTCACGGAACAGCACTGTCTTTTGATCAGCTGGGGCTCCGCACGCATTCCACTCCTCCTACCTCCCTTCCAGCCAGACAAGGGCTCTGGGCTGCTCCTGGGAACTCGCTTCAGCAGCTCAGAGGGGAGAAGGGAGAAGACAGTGAGTGGACTTGTTTTGTTCCCCTCCAGTGTCTCATTTTTTATAACTTGGAAGAGTCCCGGCTGGGGGCGGGGGGGAGGGAGTCAGCCGGAACGCTTGGAGGGGAAGCCAGCCCTTCCTCTGGGTCCTGGAGCGAGGGTAGGGAGGACCCAGATGCCCTGCCTTGACTTGTGCACTTGGGGTTTTCCGGGCAGCGGGTTGAGGCGGAAATGCACTCACATCTCAGGAGCTCGCCTGGACGGGCCTCTCTGCTTACCTTGCTGCCTGCCCAGGTTGGGGCGATGACTTTAACCAGTGCAGGGACACATGGTACTAGCGCCGGTGCCAAAGCAGTCTCTCATCTTCCTGCGATGGAGAGGAAAGACTCAGTCAGCACCAGTAAGCATCCTGGGCAAGTCCAGAGTCACAGCCAAAGCATCAAATGCGATACAGATACAGCCAAAAGCCCGGGCTTTCTGCGAGCTGCCGACAGTCAGAAATGGTATCAGTCCTGACCAAAAGCTAGCACAGAGCCTGGAACACGGCAAATCCTCAAAGTTTAATTCCCTGGTACATATTTCTATGGTGTAATATTCTTTTACAGGATCTATCTTGTTTGATCCTCAAAACCTTTTGAAACATATTGTCATATTGTGTTAGTCACTCAGTCGTGTCCAACTCTTTTGTGATCCTGTGGACTGTAGCCCATCAGGCTCCTCTGTCCACGGAATTCTCCGTGGCAAGAATACCAGAGTGGGTTCCATTCCATTCTCCAGGGCATCTTCCCTGTCCAGGGATTGCAGCTGGGTCTCCCACGTTGTGGGCAGATTCTTTACCGTCTGAGCCAGCATTATTATCACCATTTTATAGATGGGAAAACTGAGGCTCAAGGGGATCAAATGTTTAGTCCATGGTAACAGAGTTAGTTTGGCAGTTGAAGTACTAACAGCAGAGACCAATCTGCTGCCCCCTAGCCTGGCACTTTCCTCTAAAGTACACTGCCATCTGATCTTACAAACTAACAACTTTTTTGACAGCCAGTCATGAGATACAAGGCTGGATTCCCTGGGGAAGATAAAGACTCCTTCTGAGTCATGATAAGATAGGCTCAATTATCATCCTTTCAGCCTTGAAGGCTCTGAGATAGCCTCTATGAGATGTGAAACATACTGGCGCACAGATTAAAGAAAAAAGTCCTGCCCTACAGCTATACATTACTTTACAATTTTCCAAAAAACTCTCACAAATCTTGGCTCATCTCTCAAACCCAATAGACCCGGAGTTAGGATTCCTGTTATCATACTAATTTAACAGATTTTTTTAAAAATCTAAAAGAGAGGTCAAATAACTCGCTCCAGGTCACAGAACCAGAAGATAGCTGATCTAGAAATAACACCCAAGCCTTTCAGCTCTCTTTCGTGTACTAAGTAGAGCAGTTCCAAGGGCACCAGACAAAGCCAGGGTCAGAAGACCAGGCAGTGCTGCGCTCCGTGACAGCCATATGCCCTTGGGAAGTCACCAAGCCTTCCAGCTTTTACCCATAAAACCCGTCCCCTGGGCAAGTGACAGGTATGGGATAAGCATGAAAAGATGTGTGTGAAAGCATTCTCCTTAACTCAGACACTGATCTAAGAATTTCATTCATCTCAGCTGCTCTTCATCACAAACAAAAACCTGGGGCAGTAGGTATGCCCCCTAGAAAAGGACACAGAGGCTCAAGGAAGATATTTTTCAATATGTGTTAGCTGCTCAGTCATGTCCAACTCTTTGTGACCCCATGGGCTGTAACTTGCCAGTCTCCTCTGTCCATGGAATTCTCCAGGCAAGAATACTAGAGTGGGTTACCATTTCCTTCTTCAGGGGATCTTCCCAACCCAGGGATCGAACCTGGGTCTCCTGTATTGCAGGCAAATTCTTTACCATCTGAACCACCAAGGAAGCCCCATATTTTTCAATGCTGTTTCCTCAAACAGTGCTAGAGAGATCCTGATGGAATCTTTAATGCAGAGACCCCTTGCAGAATCTTTGTGTTTTTGACTAACCTTCAATATTATTGCAAATTTCTTAAAACAAGATTTTAATTCACTCTAGTTTAAAAGTAAATATATGCAAGAGATAAGGTAGGAGGAGCATCACAAAATCCAGCAGGAAATAACAGGGTGGCACCAACCCTAAGCGGGGGACACTGCTGCTTCAGTGAAGCAACAAGAGTGTCAAAGAGGGCACACTCAACCAGCCACTAGAAATACCCAATCCAACACCCTGACCCAAGTACCAACTCAGGAATTCCTCAAAGGCCCTAGTGTCCCCTATCTGTGAAGGACAGGATAAAAGGGCAAGGGCAACACCATCAAAGCAGTCACCTTCTCCCTTGTCCCATTCCCAACAGGCAGTGTTCTGCTCTTCTCCTGATCCCTAAAATGCACATTCCACCTGCCCAGGCTCTATACTGAGAAACAAGAGGCAATACCCATTCATTTCTACAATAAGACACTAATCACAGTTATAATACCAACTCATGTTTATTGAGTGGGCTTCCTTGGTGGCTCAGCAGTAAAGAATTCACCTGCAATGCAGGAGACTTGGGTTTGATCTCTGGGTTGGGAAGATCCCCTGCAGAAGGAAATGGCAACCCACTCCAGTATTCTTGCCTGGTAAATCCCATGGACAGAGGAGCCTGGCAGGCTACAGTCCATGAGGTGGCAAAGAGTCAGACACGACTTAGCGACTAAACAACAAACACCATATACCAGGCATTCCTCTAAGGAGCATGAAGGGTCAGGGCGGGTTACTAAAGCTGATACAAGTCAGTCTCTCTCTAAAGTAAGGCAAACTTCAAAAAGCCCTCCAGACCAGACCTGACACAGAACGCAGGCCATGCGCCCCCTAGTGGCACACTGGGGTTATAGTGGTTCCTTAGGGCCTTGTCCTGGGTTGGGGGGAGAGGGGCCCAGAAAGGGACACAGTAAGTGCCCCAGCAGTGGGAGAGCTGGAATCTCCGCTGGCTGCTGCTATTGTGTGTAAGTTCCTTGAACTGGGCAGAGCAAGAGGTCAGCTGAATCCTGCTGCCTCTGCAAGGTTGGATTCAGATCAATCCTACCTGACCTTTCCGGAAAGACAGGAACCTGTAACCTGTGTGGTCTGCTGGGAGTCCCCATGCAGACTTGTACTGGCAAGGAGAAACCTTTGTGCATCCCTACTTCTTTCTGGCCCACAGCCAATCCACTTACCAACTCCAAACAATGCTACTTCCTAGATATATCTTTCATCTGTCCATTTTCCTACACCTCATTGCCACCCCAATCTCTCCCCTTAACTGCGACGAAAACCTCCTGACTGCCCCAGCTTTCACTCTTGCCCTCACAGCTCCATTCTCCATGGAGGTGTCTGAATCACCCTTTTACACTAGATCATGTCATTTCCTGCTTAACACACTTCAATGTCTCCCCCACCGCATTCAGGGCAAAATCTAAAATCTTCCCATGTCCCTGTAAGGCCCTGTATGACTCTTCTTCAGTTTCCTCCCCTCCCCCTCTGGGTGCCAGCTCCGTGAGCCTCCTTTTAGTTCCCCAAAGTGTCAGAGTTTCTCCAGGCTGTTCCCCTTTGCCTTGGACGCTCCCCTGCACCACAGTCTTTGCCTGGCTGAATCTTACTCGGCTCCACTTGCCTCTCACTTCCTAAGAGAAGTCTGCGACCCTCCAGTCTGAATAAGGACTTAACCCCCACGGCACTCACCATAACCTGTAATTGCTCCCTTGTGCCATTATGTGCTTCCCCGAAAGTTCCTTAGGAGCGGAAACCTTGACTGTTTTGCTAACCACCTTATTCTCTGCATTTAGTAGAGGGCCCAGCTTATAGCTGGCATGCAGTAAAAATCTGCTGAATGAATGCATAAAATCCCATTCCTTCCTGTCCAACAGGAAGAAGAAACTTAGAATGGCTATTTCATGTCACTCATTGCATCTTTTCATAGACTTACAAACTATAATTACATCTCTTTTCCTCATGTGCCTTGCCTGTGGGCTCAACCAAAAATTCCTGTAAAGTCTCCCTGCGGTTTGTTTCCCAGAACTTCCCTCGTAAGGTCACTCTTCTGGGGACGCACTCCAGGGTTTTACAGTCTTTCCCATTCCCAGAGAGGCCACTCACAGGCACTCCAACACCACAGTCACTGCCAAACCATGCAGGATTCGGGAACGGCCCAGCGCCCACAGATGAGCAGTTTCTCTCGGGTCAGCTCCATTCAAGCACAAAAATGCTTTCTCTCACCTCCCCTGTGCAGGTCACTATGCTTACTGAAAATATACATTTACTTTAAAAAGCCATCTTATGTTTTATATAATTTGGATATGGGTATAAATACTGTTTTGAGAAAAAAAAAATGGTTTTCCATTACTAAAAAGAAACTGAAAACTACTCTCTGGGGGAAAAATAATCAAGACCTAACTAACAGCAACAGCAGTGTGACTAAGTCCAAACCCCTCCCATGACAGGCGTCACCCCAAAATTTGAAATCCCTTTGGCTGCATCTGTCATACTCCCCTACTACTACCATTGCAATATAGGCACAGGCACAGCACACTGCCTGCTGCTCTGAAAACTGCAGTTTTTTTTTCTCTTCCTCCCTCGACTGCTCACACTGTTACATTTTTTCTGAGTGCCTCTCTTGCCCCACTAGCAAAACCATATTACCTTCAAGGCCCAACTCAGTTA